TTAGGAATTTATTTATTTATTTTATTTTTGGGGGGTTTAGGGTTAAAAATTGGGTTTAAAGAATGAATGAGACAGTGTGACAAGTCGTCTTTAGTCATGACTAAAGACTACCTTTTATGCTGGAAATTGGATGGATTAAGGGGAATTAGACAGTGTTATACGTGTCATTTAGTCATGATCATGACTAAATGGCATGACTAAATGGCACGTTATGATTTGTTTTTTTTTTTTTTTTTGGGAAAAGTTGATCGCGCCTTTGCCCAGAACCAACAATTATTTTCCAAAAGACCTGCACCCAATAAAGCAAAACCATCAAAAGTATTATTAGCAAGTAAAAAAAAAAATTAAAATTAAAGAAAACAATTAAATAGTTTGGGTTGTCTCCCTAGAAGCGTTTTTCTTATACGGTTTACACGCACACATATATATAAATATATATATATATGCACTGGTAGAATGATCCAGATAATATCACATTAACATATTAATCAAAATCGCATACAACATGCATACCTAATTATCTTTTAACTTTTCTTGTGGTCATCTTCCATCCTTGAGCCATTCGTTGAATGGTCATCACCTTGTTGTATGATGAGTAACAATCATATTACGAACCACTACTCCTTACTTGGAAGTATTGTATTCGATTGATGGGGATAGGATGTTGGGTAACAATTATAATGACTAGAAAACTTGTCGTATTGTGAAAGATTCACTTTTCAAATACAATATTTCAACCCTTTATTGCCTCCGGTTACACAAAATTTGTATTGAGATAATGCGAAAATAATGTTGAAGATAATAGAACTTGGAAAATAATTAATAATAATGTTGAAGATTTCTGGATTGTGTGTATATTCGTGCAGAGAGATTTCTACATTTTAGAAAATAAATTTTAGTTGGTGAATGGAATTAAGTTCTATGAATTATGCGTGCACCCTTTCACTTATGAAGTACTTTTTCAATTCATGCAGATACGTATTAATTTGAATCCCATAGCACACCACACCTTGTAAATTAATCTTTTGTGAAGACTGTAACTTTATATATATATATATATATATATTACTACATATATATTTATATTCTATATATATATGTATACCCAAATTGTAAATAATATATTTTATTTTCAAGCTTTCAGGCACAAATCACGGCAACGAGACATTTAATTCATTTCCGTATCCATTTTGTGCAATTGATATTTTATACTAGATCCGTTAAACTAAAACCATATACGCACATATTACATAATATGCTAAAATTCCAATATCACATAAGGAAACCACAAAAATAACTCAATTAACAACACTGATAAGTTGTGGCAGTCATCTCAGTTCATGGGATTCCTCCAATACCACCCTAGCAATTTGCTACGGAAATTTGCAACAAATACTACTCTAACAATTTCTTATGGAATGCTGTAGAAAATATTTCTCACAAAAACATTTGTTACGCATTTTGTCACTATTTTATGTCAAAAAATTTTGCTATGAAATATCGTATCAAATAATTATTACAAATAAGATTTTGATGCAATGATTGCATCATAATTCAAAATTGTGACTAAAATCCTGCTATAAAATAAGACACATTTTCTGTAGTTGATTTGTGTTTGCTTCGCCTAGAATCATTTTTGCTACAGAAATATTCTGAAGAAAAAAATGACTTTTTTTTTTTTGTATTGCTTCTCTTTTTGTCTTCTTGCTTCATCCATTTTTCAGAAAAAAAGAAAAAAAAAAAACTGCATTTATAGTTAACGAGTGCATGTATGAGGAAAATGAAAAAAGAACCTGAAAAAACTAAAGCATATATCAAATGCATAATTGAGGTATGACAATCTGGATGTATTTGACAAATAGTGTGATTAAATATCTCCTCTATAAGTAAATAATCTTCGAGGAAAATTAGTATTTAGTACTAGTTCTACAACATGCGGCTCCTTTACATGATATAGCAATGTCAAATTCCTATTTATTTTCTTCCCACGTATGGTTTCATTTACCAAAAAAAGAAGAAAAAAAAAACACCAATATGCATTAAAATGAATACTGTACACCTTGATTTTTTGTGTGGTGGTTGTTTTCCGGATATATGAACTTTCTATATTGTATAAATTTACAATTCATTCTCGTGTTATAATATATTACAATGTTAACATACATGTATTTACACGTATGAGAGCACATGCACGTGCACACTACACTATAAATAGCGAGATAGTACTTCAGAATTTAATTTTGAATTGAACTTTATTGTCATAGAATTATGCAATGTATTGAAAAATAATTGAGGCATGGCTACGTCTTATCTCTTCAAAAGTTCAAACGGCAGGTTTTTTTGTCAACTCTGCAAAGGTGTCAATCAACTTTGTACGATACTCATGGAATGGATCCGGATCGAGGATTCTTGTGATAATTTCTTGCAAATAATATACATGGTGAGTTAATCATTGTCATCCTTTTACGAAACACAAAATTATTAATGACAATTAATTTTAAAAAATATATATAGTGGATAGTAGGAAAGTTTATTTGAGAGTTTAGTGCAGTGTTAATTAATGTATTTGGAGATTTTCATTGTTTAGATATGTAAGTTAATTTTATTCTAATTGTGGAATAGTATTATATGATGCACCAATTTGAAAGAAAATGAAAACCAGATAACCAAAATTTTAGTGACTGAAATGTGTTGACATTTTCCAATTATACTTTTACTCTACTTTGGAAGATTACTAACCATGGTTAGAAGTTTAACCCTGGTCACATATTTGAAAAACGGTCATAAAAATGGTGCACGGAATTTACAAGTAACGAAGTTTCTCAGTAATACATATTTTTTTAAAATATAAAAAATAGTTATGAAACCAAGGGGTGTATTCATTATATGAGATTTTATTATATTTAATTAGATTTTAAAGACTTTATAGATTTCTGTAAATTTATAATATCCACAAAGTCTATCCAAAGTTTGATGAATTTTATGTATTTATATAAATGAGTTTTATAGATTTGATTAGAGTGATTATGAATTGTGTAATTTTTTTCTTTTTTGATTTATATAAAATGGATAAATTTGTAGATAAAAAATATTTAAATAATTAAGTAAATATGCAAAAGTATAATATATCTAAAAACTACATTAAATTATTTATTATTTTTATCTTCATTCTTGTCGTCTTCATCTTCATCTCCATCACCATTATATAATATATATAATGATGTATAATAATTATAGCATAATACTAATTATATATATTAATATTTTTAATCTTATAATTTTTGTTATAACATTATTCATTATATTAATTTTTTTAATTGATTAGAATTTTAGTGTAATATTATTATGTGTATATGTATTATTAACTTAACAAATTTGATGTGAAATGACAATGAAGTGACTCGGAAACAATTCATAAAAAAAAAGAGTTAATTTAAAATTTTAATTAAAAATATATATGTTTTTAAAAAAATTTCTAAGAATTTGTTATTATATTTTAATTTTTGAAATTATTATTATTTTATTAATAGATTATAATAATAGTAATAATTATTATCATAATATTTATTATTTATAGTAATAATAATACTAATACTAATAATAATTATTATTATTATTATAATATATTTTAAGAATCATAAAAATCTCTGCTTATCAAGATAGATTTGATAATGTACAATTTTTTCATAATTTTACATGAAAATTCATATACACTTAAAATTCATGAATTGTTCAATAAATATTTTTACAAGATTTTTATAAATTGAATTTAATATCTCCTCATTTTTAAACGCAGATTTTAAAAGTATGACAAATTTTATAAAATCTTAATTGAATACATGAGATTTATTATAATTGTGGAATTCTAACTAGTGAGAAATTTGAAAGACAATGAAAATCAGATAAGTAAGTTTCAATGAGTAAACTGTGCTGGCATCTTCCAATTGTACTTCTAAGCTACTTTGGAAGACTACTAACGATGGTTAAAAGTTTAACTTGTTGACGGATTTAAAAAATTGCTATAGAAATGGTGGACGGAGTTTACAAATAACTAAGATTCTGCATAATATTTATATTTTTAAAAATAAAAAAATAGTTACTAGGAGTTCTGAAAACACTCTTCTGTTTTCCGAAAAAGAGTTCTTTGGGTATTAAAAAAAATCTTCTAGTTCTAAATTCGCAGAGCAGCAATTCTTCTGGTAGTGCCGTCCAGTAAACACATTGCTTTTAGAGAAGGTAATTTCAGATGTCTGAAAGGTTTTCTGAATCAAGATGTTCTTTTGTGGTATAACGTGATCGATCATTGTTTCACTCAATAATCTTGGTAGTGAATTGTCACAGTTTGTGAGAGATTGTAGCGTTTTGAATATTTTCAGAAATTAGGGTTTTTTGGTTAACAACAATGTTCCTTCCATGGGGTTTCATCAATTTTTAATTTTGTTCTTCAGGTTTTCCATCTTTTTCTCTTCTTTCCCGTTTATGTTTTTCGCTGGCATCGGATTTGTCAATAAATTTAAATTAAATGACAAATGATTTTTAGAATTTTAATTTTTTTGGGCAAGAAGGTACAAATTTTGTGCCTCTCAATAAGTGGTTTGGGAGATTGGATTTCAAGGCTGTAATACATCTGAAAACTTTTTGTATATGAGAACAAGCTTTGAATTAAATTACATGTTGAAAATTACAGTTTTAAGTTTTGAACTATTACTTAGAAGACACAGATTATTGTATAATCTGGAAGTTTGTATTCAATAATAGATGATTCAAATCATGGGATTATAGAATATTTAAAAACAGGTAATTTGAGGATATGGATGTTAATATAATTTTGCTCCTATACGAAAAATAGTAGCAATTTTGGCGCCACATATGTTCTTGAATAAAAAATTCAAGTAATATGCGTTATCGTAATTTTTGTTATGCTATTTTTGGTTTGAGTTAGCTTTACTGATTCTTATATTCAAAGTTATCATCAATTTTTGTAAATGAAGCCGTAAATGGAAGAAAATAAAATAGTAACTCGATGTATATCAGAACAAGCATTGAATGCTAATTCTCCTCCAAGATTATTCATCGATTGTTGTAAATCGATTATGCAGTAGATCATGTATGCTTTAATATATCAAATCATTTTTTTCCTTGTATTTATACGTGCCATTGTTAACTATGAGTGCAGTATTTGAGGTGAATAAAAAAAGAGCAAAATATGGAATGCAACAAGGATGAAGCCATAAGAGACAAAGAGATGGCTGAAAATAAATTTCTAGAAAGAGACTTTGAGGTAGGCAAGAGATTGGCTTTAAGGGCTCAGAGCCTCTTTCCAGGACTGGATGGGTTGTCGCAGTTGATTGAGACCATCCAAATACACATTGCTAGCAGCCACAAGATATATGACGCTCCTGATTACTACGGCATAATGGGGGTTGATTCATCGGCTGAGGATGTTACACTGAAGAGACATTACCGAAGAATGACCCTCTCGCTGCACCTTGACAAGAACAAGTCAGTAAGGGCATAAGGTGCATTTCAGATATTGTCGGAGGCGTGGAGTGTACTGTCCAAAAAGGACAGTAGAAATGCATATGACTTGAGGATCAACTTAATGTCTCGGAGCCAAAGTGACAGTGCTGCATCAACAAGTGCACCTTGTTAATCTGAAATGTGATGTGAATCCACCTTGTTCGAGTATATAACATTGTTGGATGGGTAACAAATTTAATTCAAATATTTGATATTATAGAAGGAAACTTTCGAAGGAAATTTTTTTTTTTTCTATTCCAGTGAAAATTTGTTTTCAACACTGATTTAACTAATTCAAAGAAAACGAACAAAAATATGGGAATCGTTGTTTCAAAATCACACACTAAGCTATCGTGATAATGATGATATAGTATCAGACACCCAAAACAACCAAAATCGGAAACTACAGACATTAACCCACCAAGATACAACCAAATCACAACAAACACTTTATTTAGTTGCCTCATATCCCCTGAAAAATTATTCTAAGCCTAATTACAAATTAAAACAACGAACAAAACATGACATGCGAATCCATAAAAGGCTAAAATCAATTTACCTGAATCAAAGAAGGAATGAAGAGAGCCAAGACGATGTCGAAACAAAACGTCTCCGAAGTTCCACGAATTAGGACATGAGAGACAAGGATTGCATTGGGATAATTGACCAGAAGAATGGGTGGATTTAGATTGCAGGGAGAAGTGCGCAGCCAAAGAAAGAAAGCAAAGGGGAGTAAATGAATTGCGTCGACCAAGTGTAGTATATTTATACTTAGGGTTTTAGGATTAATTTTGTGGGCCAAATTGTAGTACGCTTGAGCAAGCGGCCGAGATTCATCCTCGAAATAGGAGTGGGCCAAAGTATTTGGTGGGCTATAAATTTTGTTGCATCAAGTGTGGGATTGGGTATTGAACTGGAAAATTTTGGGTCTCAATATTATACGTTGCCCCCAAGAATTCAACAAATCTCCCACCTAATTTTTTAGCTCACAGAACTAGGGTGGTTAGGTGTATCATTGCCCAAATAAACAAATTTGTTACCTGCAAAAAAACAAAAATAATAAGAATTTTATAAAAGAAAAACATATGTGATTAGTCCGTACTTAACTATATAAGTTAAAACAGTTGGACTAATCAAAAGTATCACAATAATAATTTTTCTACAAAACAGTTGGACTAATCAAAAGTATCACAAATAACAATTTTTCTACAAAATTCAAACTTCGTAGTAGAGAAATTGGGAGCGGCTGTTGCCTTTTGTGTTTGGAGGCTTTGTATATGGTTGATTTCTTGTTTGTAGGGTGGTTTGTTCATGTTTGAGTAAATCTAGGGCTAAGCCTATTTGAACTAAACTTGTTTTGTTGTTTTCTTGTTTTATATATCGTAGATCTTTAATTTTCTGCTTAGATTGTTCATGTTCTTCCTTGTATTGTATGAATCTAATAGTTTAATAAGTATCTTTGTAAGAAAACAAAATTTCGATCCTTTCTAAAATAACACAATAAGAATGATTGCTACATTCCTATATTTTTCTAATAAATCTGAACACTAATTTCTAATTCTCAATAACTTGCAAGGGGTTGTCATATTTTATTGTAATTTTGGAATCAAATTACCAAGAATCACATATGGATACAAAAGAAAAAAATTTAAGCTACTTTACATCGTTGATCGAATTTAAAAGAAAAAAAAAAAAAGTAATAACTTAAAATCATTTATTCATTAATATGCATGGTATAATAAATGTTCTAGAAAATAAAAAAAATAACACACAAAACGAAATAAAAAGAAAAAAAAAAGCCAAATTTGTACCAAGATTCTTTTATTTATCTATTTATTTGTGTTCTTATAATAGACAATGGGAGTTTTAGACTCGACAGATTGAATAATTGATAAGATAAATATTAATTTTTTATTTAATTATTCTTACTTTTTGACAAAGTAATTCTTTCTATCGATGAAGTAAGTGAAAATATTGTTACAATTTATTGCACCTACACAATGGCACAACCAAAACTTACGCTTTACTGACAACATTGTTTATTCATAGCCGTCTCATCACCCATTATTCCCAAGTAGTCAGCCACCAAACTTGAATTAAAATACAACAATAGTAATGGAAATACAAGAGAGAATCATGGCAATGCTACAACATTTTTGACAATGTAACAATCACGTCAATGTTGCAACCTTTGCAGCTACGAACAATCACGATATTGTTTCAATGGCATTGATAACAAGAACGGTCGCAATGCTTCAACTATCATGTGATATTATTGCCGGTTTTTTTATTCAAAAGACCATGCTAGTGCCACGATTTCTGCAACAATCTAGGGTCACGAGATCGTTGCAACTTTTGTTACGGTTAATTATGGAAGTGTCATGGGTAATATCTTGTGATTTTTTTTTACAAACGTGCCCCATTTTTGTAAGAGTCATTAGCAAAAATCAATGGCAATTTTTCCACTAACCTCACCAGACTGTATCCAAAACAAAAAAAAAAGAAAAATGTAAAAAAGAAAAAGAAAAAGAAAAATACCAGTATCAATTAAAGTGGTGACTTTACACCCATATTTTGCTGGTGCTTGTTCCCCGGTGTATGCATTTTGTATGTAATAAAAATTTACAATGTATTTTTGTGATGTATGAAATTTCAATGTTAACATACACATATATACACACACGTATGTGAGGACATGCGTTTGCACACTGCACCTATATGGAATGATACAATACTTGGGAACGTAATCTTGAAAAGAGTTGTTGCTGCAGAAGACCAAGGCACATGCGTTTGCACACTGCACCTATATGGAATGATACAATACTTGGGAACGTAATCTTGAAAAGAGTTGTTGCTGCAGAAGACCAAGGCACGTCTCGTCCATGCGGCCGCAGGGTTCATGATGAGTGTTATAGTGAATGTTAATCAATACATCTATTCCATCTCCATAAACTTGATACATATAGTTCACTGTTGCACTTTATTGTCAGGGAATTATTATATGTATTTGAAAAGAATTGAGGTATGGCTACAATTATCTCTTTGAAAGAATTCACGTCATTCGGCAACTTCTAACTGCAGTTGCACTTTCTGGATCTGTGTCAGTGCAGATGAACCTTGTACCGATTTCAAGTCACGGATTCGGATTGAGGACAACAAATTTTCTTAGATAACAAAAAATGAAAAAGAAAACAAAAAAACAAAAACAAAAAGAATAATTCATGTTTTTTACCAACAACTTTGTAGAATTTTTGTGGTATTTCCTTCAAGGTAATCTACATGGTGAGTTCATAATTACCTTCGTTTACATACTAGATATCAAACAATTAACGACATTTAATTTGAAAATATATAGGGGATAGTAAAAAAGTTCATTTTTGCGTTCAATGTAATGTTACACTACAAAAAAATTATATATTTGTAACGGAATTCCGTCCCTAAAGTTCACGTAGCTAACGTAATTCTATTTCTAATTCCGTCTATAATGTCATTAGTAACGGAAAAAGTAGATTTAGAGACAAAAAGTTTTGTTACAAAAATAATTTTTTCTTATAGTGTTAATTAATGTATTTTTAGTGGTTCGTGTGTTTTAAAATATAATTAATTTCATTATAATTGTGGGGTGTTAAAATTGTGCCTAGCCCTCACTTCACTCTTGGTTTAGGTATAAGTAACTGGGCTGAACCCACTTTCTTCTTTCCTTGCTCATAATGCCCAGATATATATATATATATATATATATATTTACCTAGCTGATTTCACCAGCATTCATCCACAATCATCCATTCACTCTGATTCTGCCGCCGTTGGGCCTTACTTTCACACACTGCTGTCACCGTGCACGCCATCGACTCCTTCAACAACATCCATCCACATCCTCTCACACACAGAGCACTCTTTAATGGTTACTTGAACCATCTCGCTTCACCCACGCTTCTCTCGCTCTCTAATCGGCCTCCATATCGATTATTCCTACACTCTGCCTCATCTCTTTATCACTAACCTTTTTTTTAGTTATTTCTTTCGATCTTCCCTCTTTCACAAATACTTGTCTGGATTTTGTGAGTTCTTGAGGTTCACAATAGATAACTGGTGTAGGAGGTATTTGGAAAGGACCATTGATGATCTATGCCCTTGGATGATTTTTTTTTTAGGTTGTATTGTTTTGATTTACAGTCTTTGAGCTATTGTCTTGATTTACAACTTTTTAGCTAGTTTAATTATCACTTGAGGTGATATGTAAGTGTTGATAAATTTAAGTATGATATTAATTAATAATAATCCTATATTAATTTGGTGATTATATAATAAAGTTTGATATATATTTTGATTTAGTAGATATTGAATACTAAATTACATAATAATATATAATTGATTGAATATTTGAGAATAAATTAGTAATATTTGTGTTTATCCATTATATATATTGTAATAGTTTTGTAGAGAAAAATATCGAGAAATAAAGTTTATTTTCATTCTCTAGTATTCTATATTTTTGTTAATTTTCTATCAGCGGTATCAGAGCCCAAGCCTTGAACGGGTTGATCCCTTTAACCGTGCCGGTTCTCGATGGAAAAAATTTTAATCGATGGGCTGTCCAAATGGGGTGCTTTTCGATTTTCATGAATTACTGAATATTGTTGAAGAAGGTGTTCCAGCATTGCCGGAGGGTGCAAATGCTGCACAACAGACAACCAAAAGAGAGAATAAGAAAAAAAGATAAAAAGCTCTATATCTTATGTAACACCCTCAGTTGGCTTGTATTGGAAATGCTACTGCCACACTGCATCATAAGGTTGTCACCTCCTACTTCGGGACCCACAGTATAATGTTAAGGCTAAAATTAACCATAAAAGCGCATTATTATATAAAATAATCTGATTCATGAATATTTACAAAACACTCATAAACAAGAGGTTTTTCTGTTTAAAAATTTACATATAATACAATAGATGTAAGTTTACTCACTCAGCCCGTCTTTCTATATCCCGAGATGTTCCCTGTCCCGGAGGTGCTATGTATACCTGAACCAAATATTTTTCTTAAAACCAGTCTAGAATTAAATCCATTTTAAGAACTAACGTGAAATATGTCATGTCATAGCTTTTTAAATAAAGTCTAATTTCCGTCAATCATAAAATGTGTGTCATGTCATGCCAATGCAACAAAGATATTAAACTCGACCAATGCAAATGCACATATATATATACATCCGCCGAAGTGAGCAGCCGGAATAACCTTGGCTCCACAATAATAGGCTCACTGCATCTGTCTAAGTGAGCAGCCGGAATAACCTCGGCCCCGTAATAACAAGCTCACTAGACCATCATCAATAAATAGCCGGAAAATCCTCGGCTCAAGGAAGGACCTGATAAACCCATAATAATATAACGGTCATCCGTTCACTTCTATATACCCACCATATGACTCCTAGAATCCATACATGGATAGCCGAACGTTGTCGCCACTAACCACAAGACGCCCCATAGTTTGTTACCTTTTTTTAACAAAAATTGAATTCAGAACAGTAGTTAAGCAGGTCGACAAGGCTCCCGCGTACTTAACTACATTGAACTATCTTGAGACTGTTTTTGACGCATAACAAGGCTCAAATAATCAATTCTTCTCTAGCTCTAAACCAGTGAAATAAAACTCTCTAGATTCAAACTTTATATAAGTGTGTAAAAATATGTGGAAGAAATGAGGGTGAAGAATCGAATGATATTTCATTA